ATCGGGTTCTACTAGTAAAATGGAGTGTTGGAATTATTTTAAAACAGATTTGGCGAAATTACAACCAAATTACCAAATTACTGAATGAAATAAGAGGAAATAAAATGTATTTACAGTTGTGGTTGATTTCGTTCCATCGCTTAAGATCTGGACGCGAATGAAGGGGCCTCCAAGTGCCTTATCCAGGTTTTTGTAGCAGAAGACATCTAGGAATACAGTTCTTAATGAGATTTCACCCCATGGCCGGTTACCGCTCATCGCTCCGTTAGGTGTTATTGACCCTTGGCTGATCCCGATTTTATTTCTGGGTACAGAGAGTCAAAGATGACATCTGTCTTTTATCTACAAATTAAACAAGCTCAACATTTAGATCAATTTTCAGGTAAACGTCGAAGGGTAGTCCCGGATTAGTGATTTGGCTTCACTACGCTTTGTGATTGGTCGAGGAAACTCGCGCCATTCTCTTGGCCAATCAAACAAAACTTAAGCCAAACGCGTCTTGGTCATTCAGCGTTTTTTCCGCGCGTTAGACATTCGGCCCACTTTACTATGAGATCTTATCGGCTCCTTGAGATATGTTTTTAAACTCTGTGTGCTCGTTATGATTACTTCGGTTTTGGATTTAAAACACCCGTGCCTAATTTAAAGATTGTTTTTAGTCACTTGGGATAAAGACCTGACAAGTTTGAGCAATCTGTCAAAGAAAATACATTAAAAAATAATGAAAATTCTGTAACAAAAAGAAACACTTATGTGACTATTAGGCCAGGTGACCGAAATGAAGAGGGTTGTCTCACACAGGGAAGTACAATAGACCTTAGTCCAAAATGGCCGCCAACCGGTATAAGCTTGGGCGAGTGGCACCAAAACGAGGTCATAAGGGTCAAGGTTGCTTGTCCTGTAAACAAAATGCCGCAAAACTGCAGTGTTCCGAATTGCACGAAAAAGGTTTATCGGGAGGAAGACTTAAAGATATCTTTCCACAAATTTCCGAAAAATAAAGACCTATGGCAAGAGTACCATGTAACCCCATACATTAATTATGCATTCAGACTAGTAGACTTTGTTTTTAAAGTTTTGTTGTGAAAAACAAAGAAGTGGAATGCCTAATTAATGTATGGGGTTATATGGTACTCTTTCCAAGACCTATTAGCTGCATGGATTCGAGCTATTCGAAGAGATGTGGGTCACCACTTTAGGATATCTTCGCACACGAGGGTTTGCTCGAGACACTTCAAGGATTCAGATTTTCAGAGCACACTCGCTGGCAGAAGAACACTTCATCCTACCGCTGTTCCTTCCATTTTTTCGTAGAAGAAAGATTCTCCTAAGAGGCGAAAACCACCAAAACCCTGGTATGTTGTAGTACAATCTTAAATGTTGACAAGGTTGCTGACGAAAAGCTCGAAGTAAATACATGTAATAGTAGCTTAAACAATGACGAGGTATACGAAGTCCTTGAGGTCGATTGTACTTTTCAAGAGTGTAAACCTTCGCAAGAAGAAAGCATGTCTGAACTGAAAAGACAAGTTGTGGAGTTGATGTATAAACTTGACGAACAAAAGGAGAAAACAAATGCCCTGGAGTTAGAACTGAATGAAGTAAAACAACAACTTGTCAACTTGACGTCCCAGTATGATGAGTTGGAGAAGAAATCTTTTTCCTTAGATCGGTTTAGAAATTGTAAGTCTTTGGGGTTCAACACCGGATTCGCTAGTGACGAAATATTTGATGCGTTGTACAACTTCTGCGACCCTGGTGAGAATGGCGAAATATTCAGTATTGGCACTCATCATGCACAGGCCAGGATACAACTGTTCTTAGTGAAAATAATGAATACATGGAAACATTTCCAAAGCCTGGAAGACCAAGGTCGCTGCATCCAAAGGAGGAACTTTTTATTACTTTTTATAGATTAAGACAAGGTTTTGCAGAGGAACATCTTGCTCATCTCTATGCAATATCTCAAGCTACAATAAGCAGGATAATAATAACCTTGGTCAACTTTTTATATTTAAGGCTAACTGATGTACCCATGTCACCCTGTAGAGAAAAGGTAAACAAACACATGCCAGAGCAGTTTAAAGAGAAGTATCCCTCAACTAGAATAATAATAGACTGCACCGAGGTTAAATGCCAAATGCCTTGCAGCCTTCGTTTAAATAATGAACTTTTTAGTACCTATAAAAATAACACCACTCTGAAAGCCCTTGTTGGAATAACCCTGGTTGGGGCACTCTCATTTGTGAGCCAGCTTTACACTGGACACATCTCAGACAGGGAAATTGTTCTACGCAGTGGTATTTTAGATCAAAAATTTGAGAATGGAGATTGAGTAATGGCAGACAAGGGATTTACAGTGCAGGACCTGCTCCCTCCAGGCGTTGGGCTGAACATTCCTCCATTCTTAGGATCTCAGGGACAGATGAGCCCAGATGTTATCAAAACGCAATCAATTGTCTCTCTGAGGGTCCATATTGAAAGAGCTATCAGTAAAATAAAAAACTTTCGCATCTGGGATGGAATTGTCCCACTGAACTTATTTGGTGAGGTTAACCAAATGTGGACAGTATGTGCTGTATTATGTAATTTACAAAAGCCTGTCATCAGTGTGTAAGTAATTGGCCAGTGCAAATTCCATCGGCAGATCTAGCAGCTAAAGGGGAAACCTTGTAAGGTTACTATGAAATTTCAACTGCTGGAGAATAAAATTATGAACATCACCTGGTATATTAAAGGCTGCCATATTCACTCACATGTACAAGTTTTACAGTACAACACTATTACACATTTTCGTACTTTGTATACCTTTTTTAAAATGACACACCAGAGTGGGGCGTAGTTGTTAGGTAGTTCACAAAATATGCATGATTGACTCACACAATAATTTATTAAGTTAAGTTGAAATTTAGGCTGAATAAGTAATCAGAGTTCAAAATTAGATCCAGAGTTCAACCTGTGTGATGTAGTTCAGTTCTAGATCCTGGAGTTTGTTGTTGCCTACCATATTTCCTTTTTGCTGCAGCTGGCAAAAAGTAATGAAAATAGGTGTGTTCCAGTATTGCTCTGTGTTCCGGAGCTCTTCATCAAAATGAATCCTTTCAATGCTAAGCCCCCTGCTTGTGTACACAACAAATTCGTACCATTTAGCACCGGTGAGGGCGATTTGGCCCTGGACTTGATCATAGTAAACATGGTCCTTTTTTAGTTTGGGTATCCCATCTTTAATTTCTAGATAAAAGTTAGGGTCACTACAGGCTTCTGCTGGAGAAACACTGAACTTTGAACATGGAAATTTTACTTCCACAACACCATACTGATCTTCAGGACATGAAATATCAACAACTTTCACATCAGGGGTGCATCCAAGGAAAAACAGTTTTGGTGATACAAAGAATTCAGATCTTTCCACTTTTACTGGGTGTCCAATTCCATACATGTGTTTTTTGTACTCTCGTAATGCAACAGCCTCATATTTAATACCATGATCAGTACTTGCTGACCTGAATGGTTTAACATCCAGCATGTCATTACAAAACTTCTCATGGTTTCTTTTTCTTCTCAACATCTTTCCAAAATTTGAGGCTGTAAATCTATACCTGCGTTCTTCAGTCCAAGCTTTACAATTATGCTGATCCCTGGTATTTTCTTCTATCTTATTTGCATCATGCATAGTAACCTTAAGTTCATCTAGTAGTTTATTCTATGGTATATCCAGATCATCAGGCAGATCTAACACAAAGTCATCATTCAAATCATCTAGTGGCAGTGAAGGATGAGTAGGATGGGAATTTGATGCTCTTGAAGCTTGTTGACTTGGAGCTAAGTTACATTGACTTGGATCTTACCAACTCAGGTGCAGTGGGAATGAACAGAGAATTGGGGTGATGCTTCATAGATAGCTGTATGATGTAACAGTGGAAATATGTAAAACTAATTTGATTGACAATGAGATAACAATAAAAATA